AGGCAGAGGAAAAAATTAGAAAATTTGAAGACATTAATTTAAAATAATGTCTTCAAAAATAATGTATTCAAAATAAAGATTCAGAGAAAATATATGTATAGATTGAGTATCCATTATCCAAAATGCATGGAAACAGAAATGTTTCAGATTTCAGATTTTTTTAAATTTTGGAATATTTGCATATACATAATGAGATATCTTGGAGATGAGACCCAAGTGTAAACAAAATTTGTTTATATTTCATATATACCTTATACATGTAGCCCGAAGGTAATTTTGTACAATATTTTTGGTAATTTTGTGTAAGAAACAAAGTTTCTATACATTGAATCAACAGAAAGCAAAAGTGTCACTATCTCAGCCACTCGTGGAATATCTGTTTTGGTTGGCATCACTATCATTCCTCAATCTCAAAAATTTTTTCTTTTATTTTTATTGTACTCTAAGTTATAGGGTACATGTGCAGATCATGCAGAATTGTTGCATAGGTACATACATGGCAATGTGGTTTGCTGCCTCCATACCCCCATCACCTATATCTGGCATTTCTTCCCATGTTATCCCTCCCCAACTTCTCCACCCTGGCTTTCCCTCCCCTAACCCCCCACAATAGACATTAGTGTGTGATGTGCCTCTCCCTGTGTCCATGTGTTCTCACTGTTCAACATTTGCCTATGAGTGAGAACATACGGTGTTTGATTTTCTGTTCTTGTGTCAGTTTGCTAAGAATGGTGGTTTTCAGATTCATCCATGTCCCTACAAAGGACACGAACTCATCATTTTTTATGGCTGCGTAGTATTCCATGGTGTATATGTGCCACATTTTCCTTGTCCAGTCTGTCATCGATGGGCATATGTGTTGGTTCCAGGTCTTTGCTATTGTGAACAGTGCCATGATAAACATAGGTGTGCATTTGTCTTTACAGTAAAATGATTTATATTCCTTTGGGTAAATACCCAGTCATGGGATTGCTGGGTCAAATGGAATTTCTATTTCTAGGTCCTTAAGGAATTGTCACACTGTCTTCCACAATGGCTGAACTAATTTACACTCCCACCAACAGCGTAAAACTGTTCCTATTTCTCCACATCCTCTCTAGCATCTGTTGTCTCCAGATTTTTTAATGTTCACCATTCTAACTGGTGTGAGATGGTATCTCATTGTGGTTTTGATTTGCATTTCTATAATGCCCAGTGATGATGAGCATTCTTTTCATCTTTGTTGGCCTCATAAATGTCTTCTTTTGAAAAGAGTCTGTTTATATATTTTTGCCCACTTTCGAATGGGTTTGTTTGTTTCTCGTAATTCTGCTTTAGTTATTTGCAGCTTCTTGATATTAGCCCTTTGTCATCTGGGTAGATTGCAAAAACTTTTTCCCATTCTGTTGGTTGCCTGTTCACTAGAATGATTGTTTCTTTTGATGTGCATAGATTCTTAAGTTTAATTAGATCCCATGTGTCTATTTGGGCTTTTGTTGCCATTGCTTTTGGTGTTTTCGTCATGAAGTTCTTGCCTATGCCTATGCGTGAATGATTTTGCCTAGGTTTCCTTCTAAGGTTTTTATGGAGTTAGGTTTTATGTTTAAATCTTTAATCCATATGGGGTTAATTTTAGTGTAAGGTGTAAGGAAGAGGTCCAGTTTCCGCTTTCTGCACATGGTTAGCCAGTTTTCCCAAGACCATTTATTAAGCAGGGAATCCATTGCTTGTTTTTGTCAGGTTTGTAAAAGATCAGATGGTTGCAGATGTGTGGTGTTATAAACAGAACCAAAGATAAAAACCACATGATTATCTCAATAGATGCAGAGAAAGCCTTCAAGAAAATTCAACAGCCCTTTGTGCTAAAAACTCTCAATAAACTAGGTATTGATGGAATGTATCTCAAAATAATAAAAGCTATTCATGACAACCCCATAGGCTATATCGCACTAAATGGGCAAAAACTGGAAGCATTCCCCTTGAAAACTGGCACTAGACAAGAATGCCCTGTCTTACCATTCCTATTCAATACAGTGTAGGAATTTCTGGCCAGAGCAATCAGGCAAGAAAAAGAAATAAAGAGTATTCAGTTAGGAAAAAAGGAAGTCAAATTGTCTCTATTTGCAGACAGCATCATTGTATATTTAGAAGACCCCATCGTCTCAGCATAAAATCTCCTTAAGCCAATAAGCAATTTCAGCAAAGTCTCAGGATATGAAATCAATGTGCAGAAATCAAAAGCATTCCTATACACCTATAACAGTTAAACAGAGAGCCAAATCATGAGTGCACACACATTCGCAATTGCTACAAAGAGAATAAAATACTAAGAATACAACTAACAATGGATGTGAAAGACCTCTTCAAAGAGAACTACAAATCACTCCTCAAGGAAATAATAGAGGACACAAACAGATGGAGAAACATTCCACAGTTATGGTTAGGAAGAATCAACATCATGAAAATAGTCATACTGCCCAAAGTAATTTATAGATTCAACTCTATCCCCATCAAGCTACCATTGATCTTCGCAGAACTGGAAAAACAACAACAACAACAACAACAACAACAAAACACTTTAAACTTCATATGGAACCAAAAGAGAACCCGGATAGCCAAGACAATCTTAAGCAAAAAGAACACATCTGGAGGCATCACACAACCTGATCTCAAACTATACTACAAAACATATATATAGACCAATGAATCTCAATTTCTATGCTATCAATAAGTAATTATTTTCTTATACTTGGTCACACATATGTACTAATACTAAAAAGCATGATATACCATTAATACAGTGAAAAAATTATGTATTTATGGTAACTAAGCAGCACATTAGCTGCACCAGAATACCTGTGTAGGCTGTTAAACAACATCAACAGGAAACAATAGTAGGCTTTCAGTCTCCAGCTGCAATGCTGTGTCTTGATTAAAAGGGTACTGTATAGTAAGACCCTCGGAGATTGTGAGTGAACTGTGTGTTGTGGGGTTGTGTTTCGACTGTGACTTGTGACATCATGTGAGGGCTCAAAAAATTGTGGATTTTGAAGCACTCAAGATTTGAATTTTTCGAATTAAGAATGCCTAGTCTGTGCATGTATACACACATAGCTATTTAGTAAATATATATATATATATATATACAATATTTACACACACACACATACATACACTATATGTGTATATAGTATTGTTGGGCTTATAACATATGGAATTGTAACATACTGGCCAATAACAGCACAGAACATGTGGGTTGGATGCAAAGCTGTATTGGGCTAAGGAAATTACTACAAATTAAAACTCAAATCCATGGAAATAAACAAACAGAACCACAAATGATAGATGAGAATGTTAATATATCAAAAGCTATGGATATATATTTGCTCACCCTTCCTCCCTTAGCTTCTTTAAAGCAGTTTTACTATATAAAACTATGATTTTAATAAGCATCCTTGGGGTGGAGAAATTATAAGTATAGAATGTTTAAGAGTAATTCACAAAAGGAGGGAAAGAAAATAGTTATATAGGAGTAATGTCTTCTCATTTCAACAAAATTAAGTTTGTATAAATATAAAGACATTTCTTATAGGTTAATATCTATATGATAAGCCTGAAAGCAGCCACTATGGAAGTAACTTAAACAATAGAGTAAATAATTTATAAAAAATTGAAATACTCCCAGAGAAAATATTTACCTGATGCAATAAAAAGCAGTAAAAGAGGAATAGAGGAGGCAAAAGATATAGGAGATATTAAAAAAAGGTAAAATGGTATATGTAAATTCAATTATGTCAATAGTAATAGTAAATATTAATAAATAAAATATTCCAATTAATAATCAGGAATTTTTAGATGGGATTAAAAGCTGGGATCTAATACACTTGAGATTTAAATATATAAATCAATTTAAAAAATAAAGAATGGAAAAAGATTTATGCAAAGAGAAAATCATGAAGTGACTATAATAAAAATAAACAAAATAGATTTCAAAACAAATAATGTTACTAGACATAAAGAAAGATATCTGTAATGACAAAATAATCCTTCAGAAAGATACGACAAGTATACACATATATGGACCTAATAACAGAGTAACAAAATACATAAAGCAAAAACTGACAGAAATGAAAGGTGACATAGATAATTGAACACTAATAGAGAACCCAGATCCCCACTTTTCACAACAGATAGATCAAATACACAGAATTTCAACAAAAAATAATACTTGTACAACGTTATAAACAAATGAAATTTAATAGATATTTGTAGAATAGTTCATTCAATAACTGAAAAATATACATTCTTTTCAAGTACACAGGGAATACTCTTTAAGGTAGCTATTATGCTATGTCATTTTTTGAAAAAACTCAGTTCCAAATAATACAAATAATATAAAGTATGTTTTCTGACTACAATAAAATAATGGCAAAATAACACAAATTAGAGAAACTTACATATATGTGGAAATTAAACAACAGACTGGGCTTGTAGTTTAACCATCAACAGAACAGTGCACCTTGTTCTCAGTAAATAATTTCCAAACCCACTCCCTCCCACCATTTACCATTTAAGTCACCAGTGTCTATTATTCAACTCTCTATGACCATGTGTAAATGGTATTTAGCATCCGCCTGTGCATGAGAACAAGTCAGTTAACTATTGGTTTCTGACTTATTTCCTGTAATCTAATGGCCTGTGATTGCATCCATGTTGCTGCAAATGACATGATTTTTTTCTTTTTTATAACTGAATAGTGCTTCATGGTGTATGTGTACATATGTGTGTGTGTTTGTATGTCTGTACATATACACAGCACATTTTCTTTATTCAATCATCTGTTGATGGACACTAGGTCAATTTCATATCTTTGCTATTCTTAACAAGGCTGTGGTAGACATACAAGTGCAAGTTTTTTTTTTTTTTTTTTTTTTTTTTTTTTTTTGAGACAGAGTCTTGCTCTGTCGCCATATTGGAGTGCAGTGACACGATCTCAGCTACTGCATTCTCTGCCTCCTGAGTTCAAGTGATTCCCCTGCCTCAGCCTCCTGAGTAGCTGGGACTACAGGCATGCATCATCATGCCCAGGTAACTTTTTGTATTTTTAGTAGAGATAGGGTTTCACCATGATGGCCAGGATGGCCTTGATCTCATGACCTCATGATCAGCCTGCCTCAGCCTCCCAAAGTGCTGGGATTACAGACATTGGCCATCATGCCCGGCCTTTATTTATTTATTTATTTATTTAAATATAAAGATTTCTTTTCCCTTGGGTAGATACTACTAGTGGTGTTGTTGAGTCAAATGGTAGTTCTACTTTTAGTTATTTCCTTTGAGAATCTCCATATTGTTTTCTATAGAGGCTGAACATTTACATTCCCATTAGCAGTGTGAAAGTATTCCCTTTTCTCCACATTTTCACTACCATCTGTTGTTTTTTGACTTTTTGAGAATAGCCATTCTGACTGGTGTGAGATGATATCTCATTGTGGTTTTAATTTGCATTTTCTTATCTTTAACGATGTTGAACATTTTTTAATATGTTTGTTGGCAATGTGTATGTCTTCTTTTAAGAAGTGTCTTCATGTTTTTTACTCATTTTTAAATGAAGTTATTTGTTTTATTATTTTCCTTTCTTGAGTTGTTTGAGTTACTTGTAGATTCTAGATTCTTGTTCTTTGTCAGATGCACATATATTCTCTCCTTCTGTAGCTTACCTTTTTACTCTGTCGATTATTTATTTTGCTGAGCAGAGCACTTTCGTTTAAGTAAGTCCCATTTGTCTACTTTTGCTGTTGTTGTTGCTTGTGCTTTTGAAGTTTTGGTCATAAATTCATTGTCTAGGTCAATGTCCAGAAGTTTCTCCTAGGTTTTATTTTAGGAATTTTTTAGTTTCACATTTTTAATTTTAAGTATTTAATTATCTTGAGTTAATTTTTGTATATGGTGAGAAAGGGGATCTAGTTTCATTTTTCTGCATATGGCAATGCAATTTTACTAGCACAATTTGTTGAATAGGGTGTCATTTCCCCAATATACATTTTAGTTGACTTCGTCAAAGACCACTTGGTCATAGGTATGGCTTCATTTTGGGGTTCTCTATTTTGGTCCATTGATCTATGTGTCTATTTTTACACCAGTACCATGCTATTTTGGTTACTATAAACTTATTGTATAATTTAGTCAGGTAATGTGAGGTCTCCAGTTTTATTCTTTTTATTTAGACTTGCTTTGGCTATTCAGGGTTTTGTAGATTCTAGGCAAATTTTCTGACTGGTATTTTAATAGTAATTTTGCTGAATGTATAGCTAGCTTTAGGGAGTATCATCATTTTAACAATATTGAGTCTTCCAATCCCTGAGCATAGGATGTTTTTTAATTTATTCATCAGTGGTTTATAGTTTTCCTTTTAGAGACATTTCACCTTTTTGGTTAAATATATTGCTAGGTATTTTGTTTATTTATTTTTGTAGCTATAATAAATGGAATTAATTTGATTTAAAGCTTAGTTATTATTGGTGTATAGAAATGTTCCTGATATTTTTACATTGATTTTGTATCCCGAAACTTTACTAAAGACACCTATGACTTTATCCATTTCCTCTAAGTTTGCTAGTTTGTGAATATAGAGCTGTTCATAATAGTCTCTCATGATCTTTATATTTCTGTGGTATCACTGTAATGTCTCTGTTTTCATCACTGATTTTTCTTATTTGAAGTTTCTCTCTTCCTTTCTTCATTAATCTAGCTAGCAGTCTATTTTATCTATCCTTTCAAAAGATTATCTTTTAATTATATTGATCCTTTCTATTTTTCTATTTTGGTCTCAATTTCATTTAGCTCTGTTTCAGGTCCTTTTTATTTTTCTATTTTGGTCTCAATTTCATTTAGCTTTGCTTTAATGTCTTTTATAATTTTTTTTTCAGCTAGCTTTGGGTTTGGTTTGTTCTTGTTCTCCTTTTGTTTGAGGTGTAATGTCAGCTTGTAAATTTGTGATCTTTCTATTTTCTTGATGTAGGCACTTAATGCTGTATCCTGAATGTTTTGCTTTGTCGTGCATCTATTTTCATTCATTTCAAAAAATTTTCAAATTTCTGTGTTGATTTCATTATTGACATAAAGGTAATTGAATATCATGTTCTTTCATTTCCATGTATTTGTGTAGTTCTCTAAGTTCCTATTAAAATGAATTTCCACTTTCATTCTACTGTGATCTGAGAAGATACTTAATATAATTTTGATTTACTTAAATTTATTGAGCCTTGTTTTGTGGCCTAACATGTGGTCTACCTTAGAAACTGTTCCATGTAATGATGAGAAAAATGTATATTCAGAAATTGTGGATAAAATATTCCATAAATGTCTGTGAGGTCAATTTTGTCTAAACTCCAATTTAAGTACAGTGTTTCTTTGTTCATTTACTGTCTAAATAATGTTTCTAGTGCTGTCAGTAGGGTGTTAAAATTCCACTATTAATGTGTTGCTATCTCTTTTCTTAGGTTTAGTATTGTATTAATTTGTTTTCATGCTATATAGATACTACTTGACACTGGATAATTCATAAAGAAAAGAGGTTTAATTGACTCACAGTTCCACATAGCTGGGGAGGCCTCAGGAAATTTCTAATTGTGGTGGAAGGTGAAGGAGAGGCAAGGCATGTTTTACATGGTGGCAGGAGAAAGAGAATGAGGAAGTGCCACACTTTAAAGCCATCAGCTCTAGTAAGAATTCACCCACTGTCACAAGAACATCATGGGGGAAACTGCCTCCATGATCCAGTCACTGCCTATCAGGTTCCTTCCTCATGTGGGGGTTACAATTCAAGATGAGATTTGGGTGGGGACACAGAGCCAAACCATGTTATTCTGACCTTGGCCTCTCATTTTTATATTTTCATATTTTTAAACCAATCGTTTTTTTCCCAAAAGTTCACCAATGTGTTAGCTCATTCCAGCATTAACCCAAAAGTCCAAATGCAAAATTTCACCTGAGACAAGCCACGTTTCTTCTACATATAGGATGGTAAAATCTAAAACAAGTTAGTTATTTCCATGATACAACTAGGAATGCTGGCATTAGGTAAATGTCCCCATTTCAAATGGGAGAAATCAGCCAAAACAAAGGGGCCACAGGCTCTATGCAAGTCAAAAACTTGTCCAGGCAGTCATTAAGTCTTAAAGCTCCAAGCATATCAGCTGAGGTCAGGAGTTCTACACCAGCTTGGCCAACATAGTGAAACTCTGTCTCAACTAAAAATACAAAAATTAGCCAAATGTGGTGGACACCTGTAATCCCACTTACTTGGGAAGCTAAAGCAGGAGAATAGCATGACCTTGGGAGGCAGAAGTTGCAGTGAGCTGAGATCATGCCACTGCACTCCAGCCAGGGTGACAGAGTGAGACTCTGTCTCAAAACAAACAAACAAAAATCTTAAAGCTCCAAAATCTCCTTTGATTTCATGTCTTACATTTAGGGCATGTTGATGCAAGAAGTCACTCCCACAAACTTGGGAAGCTCTATCTCTGTGGCTCTGCAGGGTAGAGTTGCTATGACTGCTTTCATGGACTGTCATTGAGTGCCTGAACTGTATGTTGACCTCTTTTAGTCATGGCTGAAGCTCTCAGTTGGGACACAGATTACCAAATTCCAAGGCTGCACAGAGCAGCGGGGCTCTGGGTTTGGCCCACAGAAACTATTTTTTCTTCCTAGGCCTCTGGACCTGTGATGGAAGGGTCACCTTGAAGATCTCTGAAATGTGCTGGAGATATTTTCCCCATTATCATGGTAATTAACAGTGGCTCCTCATTACTTAAACAAATTTCTGCAGTCTACCTGAATTTCTCTCCAGAAAATGGGTTTTTCTTTTCTACCGCATGGTCAGGCTGTAAAGTTTTCAAACTTCTATGCTCTGCTTCTCTTTGAAACATAAGTTCCAATTTCATACCATCTTTGTATAAACACATAAAACTGTATGTTTTTTAAAAAAAGCCAGGTCACCTCTTGAATGCTTTTCTGCTTAGATATTTCTCCCACCAGGTACCCTAAATCATCTCTCTCAAGTTCAAAGTTCCACAGAAGAACTTTCCCTAGAGAGGGCAGGGGCAAAATGCTGCCAGTCTCTCAGTTAAAGCATAGCAAGGGTGACCTTTGCTGCAGCCCCGATACTTCCTCATCTCCATCTGACACCAACTCAGTTTGGACTTCATTGTCTATATCACTATCAGCATTTTGGTTAAAACCATTCAAGTCTTTAGGAAGTTTTAAACTTTCCCACATCTTCCTGCCTTCTTCTGAGCCCTCCAAATTGTTCCAACCTCTGCCCATTACACAGTTCCAAGTCAATTCTAAATTTTCAGGTTTTCTTTATAGCAGCACCCAACTCTGCTGGTACCAATTCTCTGTGTTAGTCTGTTTTCACACTGCTATAAAAATATTACCTGAGACTGGATAATTTACAAAGTAAATAGGTGTGATAGACTCACAGTTCTGCATGGTTGGGGAGCCTTCAGGAAACTTACAGTCATGGTGGAAGATGAAGGGAAAGCAAGGCACATCTTACAAGGTGGCAGGAGAAAGAGATTAAGTGGAAGGCCCACACTTCAAGGCCATCAGCTCTCATGAGAACTCACTCACTATCACAAGAACAGCATGAGGGAGATCACCCCCATGATTCAATTACCTTTAAGCAAGTCTCTTTCTCAACATGTGGTTGATGAGATTTTGCTGGGCGTAAAGCCAAACCATATTAAATAGTATTTGCTTTATCATTCTGGGTACTCCAGTGTTGAGTGCATATATATTTGGGATTATCATATCTTCTCATTGAATTGATCTTTTTATTATTATATAATGACTTTGTTTTTTTTACTGTTACAGATTTAAAGTCTGTTTTATTTGACATAAATGTAGCTAATCCTGTTTGCTTTGGGTCTCCAGTTGTTTGAAATATCTTTTTCCATTCTTTACTTTGAATCTATTTGTCTTTAATGACTAGGTTGGTTTCTTATAAGCAGCATATGGTTTTACCTATTTTTTTTTATCCATTCCACCAATCTATATATTTTTAGTTGAGTATTTAATTCATGTATCTTCAAAGATAATATTGATGTTAGGTTTTGTTTTGTTATTAATATCAGTTGCTGTCTAGTTGCTTTTTAGTCTCAATTACTGTTTTATAACACCTGTGAGTTTTATAATTTCAGTGTTTCTATGATGGCGATTATCAACCTTTCATTTCAAGGTTTAGATTGCTTGAGCTTTTCTTGAAGAACTGGCCTGGTGATGGCAAACTCTCTTAGTGTTTTCTTGGCCAGAAATACTTTATTTCTCCTTTATTTATAAAGCTTCATTTAGCAAGATACAAAATTCATGATTGATAATATTTTTCTTTAAGAATCTGAAAATTGAATCCCAATCTATTCTGGCTTGTGAGGTTTCTGCTAAGATATCCACTGTTAGTCTTATGGAATTTCCTTCGTATGTTATTAGATGCTTTTTTTCCTCATGTTCTTTTGGATCTTGTTTCTTCATATTGACTCTGTGTAATTTGATAACTATATGTCTTTGTGAAGTCTGTCTTGCTGTGTATCTCGTTAAAGTTCTTTGAGCCTTTATATCTGAATGTCTAAGTCTCTAAGAAAACTTTCAATTATTCCCTCAAAGAAGTTTTCCAAACTTTTTACTCTTTCTTCTCCATCAGTGATACCTACAACTTGTAGGTTTGGTTATTGGCATAACCCTGTACTCAAAGGCTTTATTCATTTAAAAATTATTTTTTCTTTATTTTTTTCTCCCTAGGTTAATTGGAATGACCTGTCTTCAAGCTCTGGGAAACTCTTTCACTTGGTTTAGTTTATTGCTAAAGATTTTGACAATAGTTTGAAATTCGTTCAATAAATTTTTGAATTCCAGAAAGTTCAGCTTGTTTTTTGTTTTTAACATCATATATCTAGCAAATTTATCATTCATACCCTGAATTATTTTTCTCATTTTTGTGTCTGTTGGTTTTCAACATTCTCTTAGATTTCTTTAAGCTTTTTAAAAATCAATATTTAAAATTATTTTCCTAATATTTCAAAAGTGTCATTTTGCTTAGATTGAATTGCTGGAGAGTTCATATGATCCTTTTGGGGTATTGTAATATTCTGTTTTCTATATATCCCAAATTGTTTCTATGGTTTGTTTTTAACTGGATAAATTATCTCTTATTTTTAATGTATGTATCTTTTCATTTAGGAAAGATTTTTTTTTCCTGATTAATACTGCGACTATATGTATGTGGTGTAAGGACATTTGGGTTTGGTTCTGGGTGCTTTCAGTGGCAAAGACTGTATACGTTACTTGATTGTAGATAACTTTTGTGTGGCAGCTTTTTTAAATGCTGGCTATTAAAATGATAGACTGGGTGTGTGAGCTGAGTCACTGCCTCCTGTGGCGCTGGGATGGTGGAGGTCTCAGGAAGCTTATTCTGTTTCCTAGTGTTGTGCGCTTGTGTCAGCAGATTTTGTAGTGGGTTATGCAGTTCAACCTCCAGGCCAGTGGATGGTGCCTAAGGGTAAGAGCTGGTTATAACAAAAGCAGACAGGAATATGCCTGATCCTTTTTTCACTTAGTGAAGCTCTCAGTTGTCTCAGGACATGGACTGGTTTGTGGAGTGCACAATGGCTTGAACTCCCTTTTCAGTCCCTGAGTTGGGGTCAAAGATGGGCTGAGTTGAACCACCAAGGCTGCCCTTGGAAACTGCAACATCAGGCACAAGCCTTAGCCCTGATTAGGATGGTAGGGTCAAATTTATTAAGATCTCTGCAGAGGAGGAGCGGGCTGCCCCAGCTCCAAGGCCTGGGCAGGCAAAAATGTTACCTGCTCCCTGCCATACCCTTGTCCCGGTGCTTAGGACACTCAAATTGGATGGACACTCCTGTCTATCTCCAGGCAGCAGCATAACCAAGAGCTATGAAAGGCTCTTGCCTTCTGGCTCACTGCTGAAATATCTTCAGTGCAAAATCTCCTTTTTCAGGCCAGAACACTCAGGTTTTTGGCTCTCTTGCTCGCCACTGCAGAAATCTTGCTGTTCATGTAGAGATAACAGGCCTCACCTTTCATGCAAGCCTGGGTCTACTGGGCACACTGCCAGTGGGGACATGGTCATCCCTAGTAACCCTAGAATGGCCATCCTCTGATGTGCCTTTACCAGCCTCTCACAGATGCAGCCAGGGCTGTCTCTGCAGGTGTGGGTGGGGAGAGGAGAAGTTCCTCTCTCCCTTTCCATGTCCATGCCTGAGCACTGAGGCTTCCTGCCCAATGGGATGGAATCACACTCTTTATTGCAGAGCCAAGCACACCACCTACATCTCTGCTGGAAGTGGCACTGTTTCTCCCAGCCCACCAGCAGGAGGTCCCGGGCCAGGAAAGTGTTTGCTCTGGTCTCCTCTGTGCACATACTCCCTTAGTATGCTGCTTTTCCCATTCTCTTTGGAGCAGCCCTCCCAGAGGGCAAGACTACTGGGAATCCTGCCATTCCCCTGTGTCCAGCCAGCCCTGTGTAGCTGTTACAATCCAAGCAGGTTTGAGGAATGTCTGCAGGGCCTCTGGTGATATGGAGACACAAGTGCTGATGTTTCCTGAGCTGGACAGTTTCCCAGTCTGTGTACTCAAAGTATGGCACCCACCACCATAGCTCGGACATGGAGTAGGGCAAGTGACTTTCAATGAGCTGGTACTCTGGTGTAGGGCTCTTAAGAAGTCCCTAAATTGACATTCACAGCAGTGTTTGGGTTTTCAAGAGCAGAGCCATCTACTGCAAAGGCAAAGGGAGCCAATACCATGCACACATACACTTTTGATGAAGTAAGTCCTTTGGGTTCCCAGCCAATCTCCGCCAGTCTCTTGTTTCCTTCTTTGTCTGTGCCCCAGCTTCTTCCTGTGAGATTTTCACTAGGTTTTAGCACTTTCCCCTTGATAACTTTTATTTTTTCTGAAGGAAACGGATGTCTGATGTTCCTAGTCAGCCATCTTGAAAAGAGACAGGAAGTTAATATAATTTTGACAAAGATGCCAAAACCATTCAATGGAGGAAAACTTGTGCTTTAGATGAATGATACTGAAAAACTGGATATCATATACTAAAAATGATATTAGATTTTATCACATCATATATAAAAAGTAACTCAAAATTTTTCAAGGACTTAAATATTAAAATTTTTCAAGGAAGGCAAAAATTCTTAGAAGAAAGGTAGGCTAAATCTGCACAATTGCAGATATGACAATGGTTTGTTTACATATGATATCAAAATATGAACAAAACAATATGAGCAACAAAAGAAAAAGATAAATTGGACTCCATTAAAAATTTTCAAAAAGCCTGTGCTTCAAACTATCCTAAATGCTGAAGCTCTTTGAATTTAATATGTACTATTTTGTCCTCCAGCATCTGGAAATCTGCAGATTTAGGTGCACAAACAGTTAGACATACGACACAGCATAATGAAGTATTTGTTTTCATAGAGGATCATCAAAACTCATAAACAGAGGATGAATAAACACAGAAGACAGAGGAAGGGTTTAGTTTTGGGGGCATGTGCCGATGGCCATGAAACAATTCTGAAATGCAAGTGACATTTCTAGAAGCATAATTTTCTTTGGCTCTAATTTTCTGCTTTTTTCAGTTTATAATGATGATAGAGAATATCAGTTATCATAAATAGCTTTATAGAAGGGCTGTAGCTAGTTTATATCCGATAATGATTTTACTGTCTTTACTGAATCTAAAAATATATTAAAAGCAACAATAATGAGAATAGCATTTTCCTGGTACAATGATAAATAGACAGATCCAGAATTTCACAGTCCAGAAATATATTCAAATATAGTCAGGCAGTGCATAAAGATGTTTTGGTCAGTGACAGATGGCACATACAATGGTGATCCTGTACGAAGATAAAGGAACTGACAATTTTCTATCTCCTAGTGACACTGTAGTCATAATATTATAGTTCAATTACTTTATTTTTTAGGAAATTTAGGGTAGCCTATGTGTACAATGTTTATGAAGTCTATAGTAGTGTTTAGTAATATTCTAGGCCTTCACATTCAATCTCCATTCATTCACTGACTCAACCAGACTCCTGCAGGCTCCATTTATGGTAAGTGCCTTATACAAGTATACCATTTTTAAAATCTTGTGTACTGTATTTTATGTACTTCTCCTATGTTTAAAAATGTTTAGATACACAAATACTTACTATTAGAATTACCTACAGTATTTAGTGCAGTAATATGCTGCTCAGGTTTGGAATCTAACAAGAACAGGCTGTGCCATGTAGCATAGATGTATAGTAGGCTATATCATCTAGGTTTATGTAATACACTCTAGCCTGTTTGCTTAAAAATGGAATTGCCTAACAATGTATTCTGTAGAACATATCCCCATTGTTAAGTGATGAATGACTGTATGTATAGAAATAAAACTTCTCACACCAGTGGGGAAGAGATAAATTTTTAAATTAATGATGGTTTGAATAATAGCATTTTGTGAGAAAAACCTTAGAACTTGATGTTCAATTTGTCCCTTACAAAATAGGTTCTCAGTGTATAAAAGATCTAAATGTATAACATAAGTTAATGTGGGAAAAAGATGTTGACACGTTTATGTTATTTCATCTTTTACTCTAAAATGAGTTACCTAAATTAAATTGAAAATACATGTAAATATTGTCTTTTTACTCTTTTTTTGTTTTCTTGACGGGGTCTTGCTTTGTCACTTAAGCTGGAGTGCAGTAGCACAAGCACAGCTCACTGCAGCCTTGACCTCCCAGACTCAAGTGATCCTCCCACTTCAGCCTCCCAAGTAGCTGTGACTGTAGGCATGCATCACCACCTCCAACAAAATGTTTTAAATTTTTTGTAGAGATAAGGTCTCACTGTGCTGCCAGGCTGGACTTGAACTCTTGAAGCTCAAGTGATCATTCCACCTCTGGGTCCCAAAGTGCTGGGATTATAGGTGTGAGCCACCATACTTTGCTGTCTTTATAGTTTTAATGAAAGTAAATTTTTTGTAAGTGTGTCAAAATGCCTAGAAGCTCTCAATATCTCTCAACTGGGCTATTGCAATTTTCTGATAAATGTTCTCTCAACTTTAGCTTTTGTTCTCATCCCCTATAATCTATTCCTTGTGGTGCATCCTGAATGATCCCTTATAATGTAAGTCAGATAATGTCATTCCTGTGCTCAAAATCTCCTGATGGCTTCTCACATCACAGCCTAGCCACTCACAGATCCCCTCAGCCTTTGGCCTCTTTGCCATTCCTCACATGCACTTAGTAGGATCCCGCTTCATCTGTTGTTCCCCTGTGTAGTTCACTTCCTTGCTTTCTTTTAGAGTCTGATAAAATGCCATCCTCTCAGAGAGGCCTTTCTTGACTGCTTTATATAAAGGAGTAGCCCCCTCACCCAACCACTTTTTTACTGTCTCTCTTGCTTTTCCTTATCCTTTGCATGACATAGAAATCATCTCATATTTATACATATATATATATGTGTACACACACACATACACACACACACGCACACACACACACACACACACATATATATATATATATACACATACACACACATATATATATATATATGAATTGAGACAGAGTAGTCTCATTCTGTCACCCAGGCTGGAGTACAGTAGCATGGTTTTGGCTCACTGCAGCCTCGACTTCTCAGCCTCAAGTTATTCTCCCATTTCAAGCTTCCTGAGTACCAGGGACTGCAGGTGCACACCACCACACTGGAATCATTTTTGTAGAGATGGGATTTGTCATATTACCCAGACTGGTCTCAGACTCAAGGGCTCAAATGATCTTCCCACCTCGGTTTCCCCAAGCGTTGGAACTACAGTTGTGAGTCACTGCACCTGGCCTGTAAACATTGTTTTTAACCCTATATCTTTGGCTTCTAGGAAGGAGGCTGGCACAGTGTAGGCACTTAGTCATGAATAGATCTGGGAAAACTAGTAATTTTTGGCTATATAAAAGTTATAAAAGTTTTTAAGAAAACCAGCATAAAAAAGTCAAAAGATCAATATTAAACTGGGTAATTTTTTTCAACCCCAATGATAGAAAAGATAAATTAAATATAAAAAGAGCTCTTACACATCCCTTAGGATAAAAGCAATAATACATATGTAAATAGTCAGTAAAGATAAAAAGCAATAATAATTGTTATAACCTATAGGATAAGATCTGTAAACTCACTAGTAATCAGGGAAATGGAAGTAGAATTTCCGTTTCTCACCATTAAGTGTAGAGAACAATGACAAAGTGCAACAAGTCTGCAGGGTTGGCAAGCATCTGGAAAAATAGGAACACTTATGCAGTCTTGGTGTCAGGTATTGAGGTACTTTAGTAAAACTAGACTGGAAGACAATTTGGAAATAGTTGTCAACATTTTAGATGTTGTACTGTTAGAAATATTTATGATGAAAAACTCAGAAGTACACAGCATTCATTTGACATAAGACTGATCTTTCAGTTCCTTGAAATAGCAGAAATATGGAACCAATCTATAGGCCCTAATGATAAATCAATTTCCTGGGACAGCATGCTCATATATTTATTCAAGCCTCTGTTCAAATATCTCCTCCTACTTTCTTGATCACCCTATCTAATGTAAGCTCCAGATTTTGTTTTGTTTCACAATGTGTGTAAAGTACTCAAATATTTGTTAAAAGAAACCTATGAGCACTGTCATGAAAGCATAGTCATATGTTTTCAAGAAAAAAACCAAATCATAGAATGATGTGTTTATATTCTTAATTTGTAGAAAGTCTGTGTGTATAAATGTATGTGTTTTTGTTTAGAAGATACCTGAAAAAAATGTAAACCAATCTATCATCACCAGTGGTTCCTTCAAAGGAGTAGAATAGAGAATTTAGCTCTTTTACTTTATGTCCCACTGAACTGATTTATTTTTTAATGAGAAGCATGTGTTTACTTGACATTTAAAAAATACAAAGAACAACAAAATGCTGACTTAATTTAAAATAGACAGCAAAAGTTACAATTATTGATATGGTTTAGCAATTTCCATAGAGAGTTGATGTTTGAGATTATAAATTTATTCCAGTAAATTTTCTCTCCAGTGCATGAGTGAGTGAACTAGGGAGAAAATGTGCTTATGAGTACAGTGGATATACTTGTGAGCATGCACAAAGGTGTATGCATGTGATATGTTGCTTCTTTCTCTATTCACTCTTAAGAGGTGTGGGGCATCTTGGGTCCAAAGACAGTGGAGTTATCATATCCATAGGGAAGAAGGACACCTTAACATTTTCAATTTTTATTCCTACACCCAATATCTCCCCATCATCACAAAAGCTGTATTTTTAATAGAAAAGGTGAGAGTTGACAAGCATTCAGTATTTCAGTAAGGCTCTACACTGCAATCTGTGTTTTCTCCATATTGCTTTTCTGTGCTTACCTAGATAAAGCTTACTTTGTGCCAATAGATAGTATATTTTTAAGTCAGTTTAAAAATATTAAGTATTTGATGTGAAATTTTCATTCTCCTTGATAGGTATTCATAACATGTTGTCTGAATTTTTTATTAGAACTGAAATAGAACTTTTGAAACACCCTTTAGGTTAAGAGCCTGGTTTGTAATGTATAACAACAAATAGTGGTACAATGAGATAAGAACGCTACTACATCTGTTTCTATTATTAGGATTGCTACAGATACTAATAATTACCATTATTATTGCTAACATTTATTTAGTGCTTGGAATATACCAGAACTATTCCAAGTGGCTTATGTAATAACTCAATATATGTGTAAAGCGTTTAGGACTGTGCTTGATGTGTATTAAATGCTCACAAATGTTAACTGCTATTAGGTACAATAAGGTAAGAACTATTACTATTGCACATAGGAGAAAACTAAGACAGAATATTCAAGTAACTTTCCCAGGGTCATGCTTCATGCTGTTAACAAATGACATTACTAAGATTTGAACCAAGGCTGTATGATTCCTGAGTCCATATTCTTAACATTAATTCCACACTTACTTCCAGCAAAAGAAATCTAACATGTTACATTGTGTCATGTAAATGATTCATATTATTTGAATCTTAAATTAAGATAGGAGCAGCAAGAACACTGAGAAAAATCAGTTCTTTTGCTGTATTTTGCCAGAAAATTCCAACAAAGCCAAAGAACCCATCACTTTAAACATTAGAATAAATTATTCTAACCCAAAGTTGAAAAGCATTCTTGTGTGTGGTATAAGAAAGTAGGCTTTAAGTGCAACAGAGCCACATTGCACAATAATCTGAGACTGAATAGGAAAGGACAAGAGTTCTTTTAGGCTCATGGATGGTAATTACCCAATTGGAATATTAATTCCATTTGTCTTCCTTTGAAGGATGTTTCATCTTTTGTTTTACTCCTTGGTGGTATAACCAATTACTGAAAACAGGACGTGCTTATGAAAAAATCCAGTTCCCAGCCTTGAGGAACAAATGCACATGTACTATTAATTGTTGTCATTGAAACTGAGTACCACAGAACACCAAAACAGCAAATGGTGATGTTAACAGTTAAAAAAAAAAAAACCTCACTATATTGTGTAGCAAGAAAAATAGGGAGACCACATTTCAGGGTTTAGGTTTTCCTCTCTAGAACTAAAATGACTTAATTAGGCGAAACTTTGGAATTAGTTGTACTTATCAGTTCCATTTCATCTAATTCTGCAAAATATACAGTGGTGCAAAATGGTCATATATTTACTGGACATAGTTTTACAGAAAATGCCCAAGTCCACATACCCACTGCCCATCATCTAAATTGCAACAGCATTATTCACAATGAACAACTTCTCCCTTTTAAATGGTTCAATATAGACAGCCTAGAGTCCTTGATATAGAACTCAGTGTACCTATTGCAATCCATTGGTTAAAGAGAGAAAAAAAGGAAGCCATTTTGCATTTTTGAATGAGGTATTATAAAATCCATCAAAAACAAAAAATCGAAGTCTAAAAGAGGCAGTACCATCCTTTCAATGAGGTCTGTGTTTATATCCTATTAGACAGTAGAGAATATTATTAAGCTTATACACAAAGAGATACCATGAACTCTCTTTTCATGGATTCCAGTGGCAACATGTACAAGAGATATTATTTACTTAATGTACTTGTTGACGTTCTACATACTGTAGATAAAATATTGTACTTTAATATTTCTATTGTGATGTTGCCTTTTTGAAGTAACCAGGGCTGTCTCTGATGTTTTGTTTGGTTTTCCAATCCTAAAACAAAGACATGCAAGCAAAGACTCTAAATTTGTCATGCTTTAAGATCCCATTGTGTGATTCATTAGCCAGCCCTTTTCTAAGCTGTAGAGTATTTAGTTCTTTGCACGCTTAAAAATTCTGTATTTCACTACAGTCACGTGTTCCTTATTGACAGGAATACATTCTGAGAAATACATCATTAGGTAATTTTGTCATTGTGCAAACATCCTAGAGTGTACTTACACAAACCTGGATGGTATAGCCTACTGCATTCCTAGGTTATATAGTATAGCCTGTTGATCCTAGATGTGTACATCATGTTACTGAAGAAAGTACTCTATGCAATTGTAACACAGTGACAAGTATTTATGTATCTAAACATAGAAAACCTACAGTAAAACTACCATATCATAATCTTATGGGACCACTGTTGTATATGTGGTCCATGGTTGACCCAAGCATCATTAGCGTATTTTAACTATATCCATCTTTTCTTTTTAATGAGTACAAAGTAGTATCTTAGATGTGAAGCTTCCCATATGCAGGGATTGTCTCTGTTATTTATTCTGTATATAAGCCAGCGTGGTCATTAATACATGTTTTTTTGGTGACAAAGAGCCTATTTATTCTGATTGTAATTGATATTTTTTAGATTTATACCTTATAGGTATTGTCACATCTTATTTCTAAAGTCCAGTCTTTTTGATAATCCTCTAAACTTTGTGATATATTGA